TCTCCAAATCAGCCCTTGTGCAACTCAAAGGCTCTAGATGAACTACTTTGCATATCCAAAGCTCCAAACAAGATCTACTTCAAACTACTTAGCAACCAAAGAACTCTCACTTGCAACTCACATGAGTGTATCCATAATCTATTGAGATTGAAAGAGTAGAGAAAATATTGCTCTAACAAGTGTAGCACACAAAATAGTACATACTATGAATGGAATGAAATATTAGCTTCTTTCGAAACCTTTTACTTGTAGTATTTGGTTTTTTACTCACAAGCCCTTTACTTATGGGTTTAATGCAAGTGGGCTATACTGTATCTCTTCATCTACTCATGCCACATGTGCAGCATGTGATAATTCAACTCTCTCACTTTACTACACTTTTAACTCTTCACTTCTAATTCTATCTCATCGTAATCACTATTTACAATGATTTAATTACAGACTGCCTGAACTTCAACATAAACTTTGAGCTACCTAAACTACAACACGATATATGAAGATAATGCATATACATAATGTTTTCACCTTCAATCTTATGACTCATTTTTTATCAAATTAATTTTATTTTGAATAATTTTTCTAAAGTAAGAGTTGAATGTGTATATTTATTTGGTTTGATATGTGATTAATATCACAGATATGTTTAATACTTAACGGTGAAAAACAACTCATGTGAATTTGTATGTAAACAATTTTAATATTTATAGTTAGATCTTCAATAATTCTAAACACTTTAAATTTTATTTACAATCATGAATGCATTAAAGTGAATTTATTTTTAGTTTTTAATCAAGAAAAATTTCAATCTATTTGGAAAATGTAAACTAAAAATGATCAGCTACTATTTAGTAACCATTATATCAGTTGTACCCTATCCTATCAATGGATTATAAAATACTAGATGATTTTATGTTCTTGTGAATCTCCAAAACAAACTAAATTCTTTAAATTATTTATGTACACAAGCTAAATTTGGAATTATTAAATAAATTCTTTATTTTTATAGAACATGATCAAGAGATATATATAACTCTGTCCTCAACAATGGAAACGAACTCAACAAATCACTAAGTAATCGAATATACCTTTTACTAGGAAAGTAATTGATGAAGAAGTTAATTGATAAATACTTTTGTTTTATCTTCCGAATTTTACCATTCTTATAAGATCATAAGATAATCACATGTGAATATACTTTCATACTTTAATCCAAAAAATACCCTGAACAATAGTTATAGTATTCTATGAATAAAGTTAAATCAAGATGTTGTATAAATGTAGTTTAATGCTCATCATTGCTGCTATATAATTTGCTATGAAGTCATGATAAAGAATCTACTATGTACTTACGTCTTTGGAATAAAGCAAATCTAGTCGGATAAAGTACTTACACTTCCATCAAAGTCGTCAAAACGTGATGATGTATCTGCCTACTGATGTAGCTAACAAAAACAAACCAGATTTTACTCCTTAAAATTTTGAGCATTGTTTGACACTTTAACACCACAAATTCTGTCTCATTTTCAAATCTCTCCTATCTAGAATAACCTCCAACCGGTAGCTATACATATTTGTGCATTGCTGCCAAACTTGTTTGTTTCAAAGTATATCCTCGGTTAATTTCTTTGTAGATGTAATCACAAAAGACAATTTCGATAATCTTATTCTGGAAGATAGTGTCTTCTTGCATAGGAGAGTCTGTAGCTTTTCGTGATGTCTTTATGGTCAAAGGGATGAAGTAAAAGCATTAGTGATATAACCTATTTTATATCTACCAGATGATTATCACGGTACCTCAACCCAATATGTTTCAGCGATTGTTTTTATAGTTTTATTAATTTTATCAACTTCATCATATTCTTGTATTGCGCATTCAAAAATATCGAAACAATTATCAAACTCTTTTGATATTTTGAAATTGCATGCATACGTATTTATCAACACATCACTCTCTCACGACTGAGATAGTGTTATGTTAGTCATTTGAACAAAAGAACGACTTCAAAACTGTCACCTACATGAATCCGTTTTTGGCTTTTATTTTTTAATTCTGTCATGATATCGAATGTGATATTTTTTTGTCACTTCAAGCAGCCATCACAACACAAACACTTATTCTGTCAAGTCTACAGAAATCCATTCGCCACCTCCAGCCCCACTTCAGTTGACGGAATGATAAACTGAAGCTATTTGATGGTTCCTGTTTCCATTTTTGGCTGGGCATTTGAGCTATTATCCATTTATTCGATTGTTACACTTTTCCTTCCACCACCTCCGTCAACTTATTTTGGCTGATCAGATGATAAAATGAAAATATTTGATCGTGACATGTTTCAATCATGACGGTGGACTTGAGTCTTGACTTATATCATATGATGGTAACATGTTTTCATCCGCCACCTCCACTTCAACTGACCCGCGATTAAATGAAGTTTTTTTATATGTTTCAATTATGGAGGTGAGTGAAATGGGATACGCGACTCGATGTATCACATGTTTAGTTCACGTATGAATTATCTTGCAATAGTGCTTTGGCCTTCACTGGAGCAGTCCCTACCCTCGTGGAACCGCGGACCGTTTTGCCATACAGGAGTGTCCTGCAAATGTGCCCAATCGGGATTCTGGGGCCATGGTGGCAGAGGGAACCGTTTCGTCCTTAAAGGAGTATTTGGAAAGTAATGTGTGCCAGTTAGATTTGCATCAGCTCTAGTCCATCCTTAGAACTGTGTTCCTTTGGGCCCCAAGGCTCCTCTGGTATATACTTTACTTCGCATTTGTTCATTACCTCGCCTCCACCTTCGGATAGATCTCTTTTCTGGAAGGACGAAGTGGATAGGCATAGGGTCAACTATACAAAGGAAGGAAATACAATGTAAATCCGAAAAAGGATGGAAAGCAGGTACCAAGTCGTACATGATGCTCTGCATCCTGTACGACTCTTTGTGCATTTTAGAGGCCGAGGAACTCTCCATCGAAGGTTCGAAGGAGGATTATTTATATGAACCTAAAGCTATTCATTATACTCTACAGCGTACGAAATCATTCTACAATGTTCTTCTAGGGGAACGTGAGCGGTGCCTGCCTGATTCCATTGCTGCGTGTCCAACTGAGCTCCGAGCATTGCCGTTGCAATGCTGGCAAACCTCCTTGCTACGGATGCTATGTTATATTTAGCCAGCTAATTCAAGGGAAAAAAATTAAGATGGCAGAACAGATAATTATTTTTTTGGCTCTGGCCAAAAAAGGTTGACACGGTAGATTTCAACAACAAATACTTTACTCCTATGTGGGTCCTAAAGGAACTAGTTATAACGGGGCCAAAGGAACAAGCAAAGAGGATGGGAAGGTTCCGAGGAACCACACAGAGGGAAACCAGTAAGTTGTACCTGGAAGCTTTATAGCCACCATCCAAACCTTTTCCTGTGAAGAAAGTAGTGATGATAAACTTGGAGGGGGTAAAGAGATTCCAAGATGAGCCGTTGGTTACCAAACCTAGAGTTCTTGCTCAGGTTAGACCCGGCTGGTGATAAGACACAACAAAAATGTTGTGGTTTGTATTTTATCTTAATTTTGTGGTCGGGACATTGCGCTCTCTGGGTATTGCGCTCTCTTGTAGTAATCATGTGTAAAGTTATCATGAAAAATATATGAACAAGTTGTAAATTTGGTGTCAGAAAAATTGATCGGCTCGAAGAAAATGTCTGCCCATGGTTGTGAATGATATGGCGTGTGCCTATCCCGCATAAATCAACTTGGGATGAAAACAATATTCAGCATAGCATCTCCTCAGAATTGATTATTTTATATGGAAGTGAAAAATGTTGCTACAGTTTAATCATTCCGTTTATCCAACCTTTTCTTTTTTTTTTAAAAACGACATTGAATAGAAGTTATTGATAAAACTATCGAATTATATTTTAGCCTTTCACACAGTTCAATTCATGAAATCTAGTCTCATACATTGTGTGTGTCGATAAACTTATAATTATTAAATCCTTCCATTTTTATTGATTATATGTAATGGATAATTTACTTTATTTCAACATTCTATCTAACAAATGTGACTTCTTAGAAAAAAAAAATTCATTTGGAATGATATAAACATTAGAGCTCCAATATCAATTCATTGTCTTATATGATTTGTTGATTGAAGAGTTTGATGTAAAGAAAGTGTAAAGAAGACCTCTAAATTATATATATTGAATATATTATGTTAAATAAAGAAATAAATGTTATTAATTCTCTTAGCTAAAGAGCATGAAATGACATAAAGGTTACTAAAATTCATGAATTTTCTCTTAATTTTATTGTTAGATTACTATTATTTGGCAGATTTAAAAGTGATATTCTCATATCATTGTTAAGAAATTTTGAAAAAAAATTTCTTTATGATTTAAATAGCAAAAAATTAGATTTAAATATAAAAAATTAAGATATAACCATTTCTAAATCTCTTGTTACCGTCCTCTCTCTCTCTCTCTCTCTCTCTTTCTTTCTTTATATATATATATATATATATATATGATTATATTGAAATTAATGAATCTTATAGAATCAGAGAAGATTTTCTGAAGTTTGTTTCTTCAATTTTCAATTCCATTTATCACTTACATTTGAAATTTTGGAATGATATTTTTTGATTATTCTTGTACGTTTTATATTTTTAAGATGAATTTTAAGTGTGAAATTATAAAAAGTTAGTTCAAATAAATATAAAATATTGTGCTAAATTCTGCTAAATGGAAATTAATATAGTGATTGGATATATTTCAAGGTATATTTTCATTACTTAAAAATAGTGAAAAAAATTCATGATTTTGTTAACTCATCATGATATAAATGTCATTAGAGATATTTTTGGATCAATATTCATACTTTAAAATATCATATAAAGACAAAAACTTGACAATAAAGAGTTCAAATTGAATACAATCACGTTAATCAAATGAAGAAGAAATAAATGTTTTTTATCAATTTAATTTTTATTAATATTAAATTTGATTTGTAAAGTACAGTAGATAATAAAAATCTCATTTTCTTCATGTAGAGTTCATGGTCATGGCAAATATGCATGATAGCATATGTTTGGTAAATAAGTTTTCAAGCTGCCGATAATGCGATCAGATCAAGATCAGAGTAATAAGTAAATGGATTATTATTTCATACACTATGCGAAGAAAAGAAACAACTCATGTCATTAGCTTGACGCTTTCATTAAAAAAATCAACCCCAGTTCAATGAGCGCCAGCATTATCTGGCGCTCATTGAGGCTTACTGCCAAATTTTCATTCGGCAATGACGTATATTGTTTATCCTGTCTTCCGAAGGTACCGGCTGTGTAGAATGTGACAAAGCTGGGCCACAAGAGTTTACTTCTCAAATGATCGCAACGGCACTCTACACCCCCAACATAAGATGTACAAGGCTAAATATGTAAACGACACCGAAATACGTTCATGAAATGTCAAGTATTTCGCATCCGCTACTGGAATCGAACCTCATTGAAGAAAGCATGCAACCGGACTCTTGGACCCAATCAATGGCTTGGAAGGAATTTTGGCCCCGGGAGGTAGAGGCAGCCCGTCCCATGGATCCTCCAACACTTCGGCCACGAACCTGCTAGTTTCAGCCAAGCCCACACGTTGTGGCAAATGTGTTAATGCAATCATTCTCTGCGCCCCCCAAATATTCGCCGTTTTTAGAAATATCTCTTCATCTACTTGGAACAACGGGCACAGACATATATGTATCGTCTGTACACACACGATCTAGGATCCACTGTCTAGACTTGCAACTTGGCTATGGGCGATCTTCCCCAAAAAAGCATGATCACTCTCGAAACCTACCAAATATAACATGATCCAGGGATTGATAATCGAAGTTTGGGTCTCATGAATTCATGCGCTGAAATTATGTTTCAATTTGCGCTGGACTTCGAAAGTTCGAGAATCTAACGTGCTTACAGTTTCACTGGATAGACAGGAGTGTAGCTCCTCGTTTTGACACGTTGCATCTTCTCCAATACCGCCAGGGACTTTTCTTGCACTTGCCCAAACACGGTGTGCTTTCCATCCAGGTGCGGGCACTGTGAACATAAACGCAGTTATTCTTAGAAACAGAAGTGACCCTTACCTTCACTTACTTGCTTGCAGATAGGTGAGTGAGCAGGTACCGCATGGTGACTGACCGCTTTGAAAGTTATGAAAAACTGAGAGGAGTTGGTGTTGCGTCCAAAGTTGGCCATAGAAACGACTCCTTTTCTGTCATGGCTGCGTTTCGCAGAAATCTCGTCCCCGAATTTCGGTCCATATATTGAAAGCCCACCACCTCCAGTTCCTACACCAGAAAAGGTTGAAGAACAGAACTGAATTTTCATACCATGCTGCATATAATCGACAAGTTCATCTCACAAGGTGAGTTTTACCTGATGGATCACCGCTTTGGCACATGAAATCGGGGACAATTTTCTGCATAGACAATCACGCACGCATGTTGTCAGGATTCACGGAAGTTTTATTGACCATCACCTGCCCCATGACTAGGCACTTAAATATGGGACCTTTCGGTTAAGAACCTAGATATGCTCTTGAAAACCCAATACCGCAGTAAAGGTGGATTACGTTGCATGCTCACCATCAGTGCTAAACTGTCGTGTCTGAGTCCTTTAGATGCGCAAAGTGATTGATAGTTACTTTCTGATTGCATCTGAATACAAACGAACAGAAAGAGTCTACGGGAAAATGCTAACAAAAGCGAGAGCGTGAGAAAGATTCGAAAGTGAAGGATCAACCAGGGCGGTACATGGAACGTGATGCCATCGTAGTAGCCTGCCTTGCAAAGCTCAATGAAGTTCCTACAAGTTCTGGCACGAACAAACATGAGTTCATCAGGCTGGAGTTGAAGTAGGGAAAGGAGATCAGGGCGTAAGTTCATAGTTTACAAAGAAGGGCAGGGAGTAAGCACCGGCTTTGATTAGAATGTCCAACCAGGACTAGTGAAGTCTGGAAAACTTTCAGAGGCATGGTGACACGAGGAAGTTGATCGGTCAGTCACCTTGGAGCATCTCTGAAAAACAGGTTGATTTCTATGACACCGTGGGTGCAAGACAACGTCACCGACATCACCGGAGGTTTGGTATCTAGTTCCGACAGCAGTTTGATTGCCAAGTGTGAAGCTCGATGCCTCAGCTCGTTCTGGAGATCTTCTTCTCCTTTACCCTGGTTCTTCGCTTACTTCTCTCGATCTGCCCTTCGGAAATTCGAGTTCAACGTAAACCCTCCATATGTCGAATCATTCACCCGTCATCACAGAGGATATCCTATGGGAGCAAAAATACTACTCCACAGTCGTTACCCTTACATATTTCCAACTAAAGCGGAAAAGTGAAAATTGTATCTGTGTCTCTAAATGTCTCCTTTTGCCCTGCTGTTTCAGAAAGTCTGATTTTCGAAGAGTACAATAATTAAATATCCATCCTTTGTATGACCAGGAAGAAGTTTACAAAAACTAACTCTACAACTTAACTGTGACAATCCAAATTGTGTATCCGTGACCAGCACCCTTGCTATCGAATTCAGTCGTTGAGACTACCGGAGGACGAGCGTCCGTGTCGAGGAACTTTGTCCAAGGGTGCTGTGGGGTAGTTCGCAGGTCAGAGAATTGTGAAGGATGCGAGGAAAGGGTTTCGAAGATGGTTCTATTCGCCTTCGGCTCACCAAAAAGGAAATTCTCTCAAGGACCAGATCATGATCAGCTTGTGTGGCAGTTATGAAAATTGTGCATTCCCGCGTTGCAGGTTCCTGCCGTTCAGACACTCGATGCAAGGAGAAAGGGATGCTTGTTGACAAGTAACGAGACACGCAGTCTGACGAGAGCGAATTGTCACGAAGTACTCCCAGAAAAGTCGTTCAGTGTGAAAGGAAGCTTCAGCTTTGGTATGATACAGTTCAGAAGCATGCACTTGGGCGCACGGTCTTAGCACCATTGCGAGGTGCACATCCAAACGGTTCGACCATCTATTTGGGATATTCATTTACTGCCGACAAAGATATCGCATCAATCGCAATAATGGAACTCAACTTCACCTGGCACTTACGACGTCATCATCCTTTTTGAAGATGCAACGATACTTTCGGTTCACAACGAGCACCTCCGAGCAATTTCCCTGCCTTCTGATGCTTTTCATCCTGATTGATTGGGACTGAGGGTGATTTTGTTGAAAGATCTTCTGAATTTGTAGCTAAGGCTGATCCTTCAGCGCAGCCAGATCGATCTATCTCAGAGCGGACAGGTTTGAGGTTGTAAGCCATGAGTCGCAATGCCTGGGATTGCAGGAATTTGAGTGGGGATTTGGGTCGGTTGTAGAGGAAGGAGAATGGGAAAGAAGCACAAAAAAGGTTGGAAGAGGAACAGAGGATCCGAATCAGATGACGATGAGGATGAAGAAGACGACGATGACGGCGGTGGCTCGGACGAGGAGGACGAGGACGAGGACGAGGACGAGGAAGATGATGACGAATCTCATGAGAGTTCAGATGATGAAGATTCCGAGAGCAATGCGGACCGTCACCATCGCAAGAAAAAACACAAAAGACATAAGCATAAGAAACACGGATCATCCTCAGACGATGACGATGGCAACGACGATGGGCATAGCGGGAAGAAGAAGAAGCACGGGAAACATAAAAAACATGGTGATGGCAAGCACCGGAAGCACGGCCATGGTCATGGAAAGCAGAAGAGCAAGAAAGAGAAGAAACACGGAGGAGACATTGCAGAAGATTTCGAGTTAATCCCATTTCGCTATTCCTCAAATTCCATATGTCTGTGGTCCGACCGGTTCTGCGAGCCTTCCTCTGCACCCTGGCTCCTGATATATGCTCCTCACTGTACTTTTGACCCAAACTCTTGCACCCTCCGCCGCGTTCTACAAAAGGCTGCCGATGGTAAATCGGGTTAACTGACATTCTCTGGGTGCGGGGAAAATGCCGTTCCGTGGGTGACTGATAATTGTGGTCAGAAACGTCTTTCTTCGCTGCCAGAAAAGTCATAAATTTATGTATGATGGTAGAGCTGCCCGGTGTCAGACCTCATATGACCACTGAAATGCTCGGTTCTGATCTAATTTGATATTTCGTCATGACAGCTGCACTCAATGCGTGATCCAATGACGATTCTGATTTGCGTTCTCGATGAGGATTTGACCCGCACGGTATTGCGATTCAATTTTACAACAACAAGGATCCCACTACGATCCACTAAGCTCTTCAACTCCCGTCCGAGAATTTCAGAGCATGTTCACCCTGAGTATTCCGGCTTCGAAAAGGCAGCAAGTTTCTCAAACCAAAGTTTGAACTCATCATTCTACGTTTTGAATGTGATTTTTGTGCCGCAATAGGTTAAGGGTGGACCAGAAGTTGCGATCCGCGAGAAAGGTGATCAATGTCCTCAATTACAAGGAAACGAAGAAATTACGACTGTCACTCATCTCGCTCCGCCCGACGAGACGAACGCGCAAACATCAACCGACGGCCTACCTCCTGCAACCCTCGAGCTGTGAACTAACTAAGAAGCATGCATCCGTGGCAACCCATGAAACAACTTCGTCGGCATAGATTCTCCCGATTCCGAGAAAAGCTTCAAAATGTTGAGGAAAGGGACGTGAAGTAAAGTTGTGACGAAGCAGAACTGTCTGTCCATCCGTCCGTCTCTGTACCACGACGAGGAAGAATGTTCGAGTTGAACCATGGATGGATGGGAGGATGGTGACAACCCAATACAGTGCTAAACAAATGAAAGCCTAGTGGCTCCCGATAATCATTACACAAAGGCATTGCTCGTGATTCTATCGAACATATCTGACGGTTGTGGAGAATGGAGCGGGAAACTGAAGCCGTGCAAAGTTCTGCTCGGTACCCAGTTTTACGAAGCCCTGAGTAGAGAGTGTGCGAATATCTGGGGATCTCGTGTAGCAATCCAGAAGTAGTAATTGCCGACTCCGTAGAGTAGACCAGATCCGTCGGCAATATCCAGTTTGTTGTGCTCCAGGTCACGGTAAAAGTGCAGTTGTAAGACGACATCGCGAGAATGTATCGATTATATAAATTCACCTATCCGTGTGACAGAATAAAGCTACATATAATCGTCATGTAAATCGACCAGTTTGAATCTTAGGTGAATCACTGAAGAAAGAAAAGTAACTTCAGCGTTTAATAAACAGATCACAATCGAATGTGTCAATCAGAGTTCTTGGAATCAACTTCGTGAAATAAGAAATCATTTTTCAACATATGATGTTGAAGAGATGTCAAAGCTTCCGTTTGTAATATGTGTACTTCTAATTAACTTTCCTGTGAACCAAAATCATCGAGATATATACTTGATAACGTATATACATATCCAAAGGCATTTCACTACTTTTCTTGTGAATAAAAGAGATGAAATTCCTTAAGATTCATTTATAAATTACTTATAATTCAAATAAATGTATTATATAATAAAAAATATAGTGAAATATATTTTTAAAATGCACTTTATCTTGACATGATGTCAATCGAATATAATCTAGAAGTTCAAATTATTGTTTCATAAGATTGCAGCATTGTCTTCATGTAATAAAGCTAAAATCAAATGTATTTATGTGAGCACAAATTGGTGCTTACGTGTACTTTTAACATTATACGAGTTAAAAATTTTGAGTTAAGTTCTTTAAAATTTATGTTTTCAATTTTTGTGTCTATTTGGCAAATACATTGAAACAACAGTTGATAAGCGGGGAGTAGAGAACAGCGGCATCCATTTGAACTCAAAAACGGGAAAAAGCAAAGGGGGAAAACAGCGTTGACATTCGGTGGATAGATGGAGTGTTGCCATGGGCAAAGAAAGTATGAGTGTCGTCGTGCTGCTTCTCATAACGGACCGCAATCGAGAGGGAAAGCAAGCGGCTAGCTCAAACTTTTGAGTGGATATTCACAGTGCCGGTTATTAGATCATGATCGTCTCGTATGCATGGACAGCTTCAATTTTCAAAAAAAGTGCAATGTGTCGGTTGCCGGAATTAGTGCGATGATTTTTGAGAGATGGAGATCTCAAGATTGGTCCTATAGTGCATTCCGTGTGCGTCAAAAGGTTTGATTTGCATGAAGACAAAATCACTCTCCGAGATGCAGATTCACACTTTGAGAGGAAAATCCGGTTTCAGCTCTTGAAAATATGAAGCTAGCGAATCTGCGCTTCAGGACCAGCAGAAAATGCGTTACGATATTGATGCACTTGTGGGTTATGATAATTATCCTTCCATCTCACCAGCAAAGTGTAGAACGACAAACCCTTGGTCTTACTTCTGGAAGTCAGGAGGGCATGTTCGGGATGAGTCTTTCAAAAAGCCAAATCTTAGTTGGAAAGTTTTGCTTAAACGACATCAATATCCTTGTTCATGCTTGCTCTGGCTACCCATAAAGTTCATTTTTTTATTCTGAGAGAGTCCGTCTTCATGCCAAGACAGCAAGACAAGTGTTTTCTTTGTGGTCAGGTTAGTCATGTAGCTGCAGATTGCAAAGTCAAACCGAAGAGTACACAAGGAGAGCATGATGAGAAAAGTGAAGCAGAATTCGAACCAAAAGAGCCTTTCAGTTTTTACACATATGGACACTGCATGAGTATCTGGAATTTGACATGTCTATTCTGAATCCTCTTTCCGGGGTGGATTTTGAGAGACTAGTCGATGACTTTATTTTCATGTGTTTTTTTGTGGAAAATGTTTTACTTCCGCATATGCCAACACTGAATATCAGTGAGGGAGCTATCGATCTTCTTATGCTCGTCTTCAAAAGGGGGTTCAAGCAGATGGATGGCTATCTCACAGAAAACGGAGAGTCAAACCTGAAGAATGTTCAGTATTTTTTCAAATCATTGGAGCCCAGGAACCAACCTTTCAAAAGAGAGCTCGTATACATCGGGAAGAAGATGAAAAGGATGAAGTGGATAATGTGGAGGAGCTGACATTGAAACTTAATAATGTTTTACGTGAAAAGTCTGATGTGATGAATTGTGTTAAAGAGATTGAAAATTTGGTGAGGTTGGGCGAACCTGGTTGGAAGGAGAAAAATTACGTGGAAAAGTTTGAAACAAGAACCGCCCAAGAAATGAAAGAGATCCGTAGGGAAGTGATGCTTAAATGTATCGAGTATCTTTGCGGAGTTATGAGATATTACCACCAAGGTGTCTGTACCTCATTTTGATATTATCCATATAACTACGTTACTTTTGCATCTGATCTTACGGATCTTGATAAGTTGGAGATTAACTTTTTCTCTTCAACGTACTTTCAAGCCATTCAATCAACTGATGGCTAGTTCGAACGCTATTCCGAAGATATATATGACCTTGATGAGTGATTCTAATTCACCAATCATTGACTTCTATCCCACAGATTTTGATGTGGACATGAACGGAAATCTTCTCATCGCATGGTGATGGCTCTAAGCGAATCATTGCTTTAATTCCAACAGAAGTGAGTGTTGCAATGGAATCAAGCAGTAATTTTTTTTATGATGAACTTAAGATGGGAGGAGCATCATATGAAAGCAAGTGAGTTCTCTGACAAAGAAGAATTTGCGAATGGGAAAGTAGCCGCGGATCTGCTTTCAGGATATGGAAGCTAGGATCAGACTTGTTCAACAATGCAAGTCGGAAGCTAACGCCGCTATGAAGTGAAATACTCACCTGTAGTTGATGAAAGCTTTTATATGGATCCTAAAAAAATGAAAACCGAGCTGCATGCAACATCTGATGCAATGGACGAAATGAAAAGGAGCGCATTCTTGAAAGGGTAAAAGAAAGTAACAAGTATGTGGTGCAGAAGTAGAAGGAGTTGTTTAAGACGGAAGTCTCTCAATCGCATACGATAATTTGGAGTTGAACGGAGAATTCAACACCAATAGGAGTTCGCAAAATCAGAGTGGGGAAGATGGAGAGGGTTGCCGAGTAAATCAAACATTTAGCGGAACCTTGCACTAAAGTGTTAATTTAAGAATTTTGGACTCAAATTTGACCTCGAATTTGAATTTCATGTCAATTTGAAATTCAGACCAAATTCAACCTTCAGAATTTGGATCTCAGATGGATCATCATCTAAAATTCAGATTCACTCACACCAGGATTCATCTCACAAATCCAAGCGTTATCGCTATGAACACCACACGTTAAAGCACAAACCAAAAAATCATCAAGGAGATAATCAATCTCTTAGCTGGAGATGGGAGTGCGTGAAAAGTTCAGATAGGAAAGAAATCAAGACAATGCAAGAGTCGTTTGATCGATCAAAGTAGCTGCAACAAGAACATAAAAGTTTCTCACATGAGTTGAAGTCGAGAAAAGAAAAGAAAATTAGGCATAGTTTTCCAAGAGACGGTTTGAGACTCTTACCGGGCGGGATTGTACTTCTTAATTCCAAAATTGAAAACATGAGTTCATGAAATTTAATTTTTATCGAGAAACTCTATGGCCACAAACTGGAGGTAGAAGTCGCGGCATCAAATCGTGGAACAATAAGCATTAATTCGGGAGCTGGATTATCGCTGTCATGAAAAAGTGAAATCATCATGGAAAAAAAGACATGAACGGAGAAATAACAAAAATTGAGCCATCGAATCGCCGGGTGTGTACCGAATTCGGAACGCTAGAATTGAAGCGTCGGGTCAGATTCTTGGACCTAGGAGTATACCGTCCGCAGGCAAGGTATTAGATCAGTATCAAAATCGGTTGCAGTTGCGGATGTGCGGTAACGTGAGCAAGCACGGGAGAGGAAAAGTCCGTGAGGTGATGCGCAAAAGAGTAGGATTTAGAAAAGGGTGGGAACTTTTCCATGTGATGTTTAGGGTTAGGGAGAGAAACTAACGGCTGGACGGCGAGCGGAAGCAGGGGATCTTGAGGTGTAGAGAAAGGTGACGTGCACCGAGTACGGACGTGAAGACGGCGGAACGGCCAAAAGAAGCTGAGGCCAACTTCTTGCAAAAGTTTCTACTACATATGGCAATCAACATGTATGATTGCATGGAGCAACCATATGTATCTGCATTGAGACTCAAGAATGCTTTGATCGTGCGAAACTCTCACGACATGAGATGACAAAGAAATCAAAGAATTTTACATACATTTCCATTCTTGTTGGTAAACTGAATCTCTACTCATGTTATATGCTCCAACGGTTTCAATTTTAATGAATCTTCACCTTGATGCTCATGAAGATTGTTACCCACTTGTTCCAACTTGAAAAGATATCGTTATCAGACGTTGAGAATCGACCGTGTTAAAAGTCTGAGTAAAGCATCATCAGATTTTGCAATCGACCAGCTCTATGAAAAGAGTGATAAGTTGTTTCTTAATAACGTCACATGTGATGATGCAATAGCTTCTACCTAGTGGTCAAAAAAGTACAAGTTGAAAAACAGGCAGAAACACGTTGAACAACGAGCAACCAAACCAATAAAGCAAAAGATACGTGTTCTAAATGCAAGCTATCAAAATACAATGTCTATACATGCGAAAGAAAAGCAGCTGCAGATATTGTAGACTTTATGAATGATGAGCTTGATGAGACAAATGAAGGTCCATATTTTGAAAGTGTAAAGATATTAATACTGCTTAGGTCTTGTGCTCCAACATGTTATGTTGGACTAATTTCAATGTACATGTTTAGTGAATCAAAAGAAATATCTAACAATCCACCGGAGAAACTTTTGATGGCTTCTGTAGTGATAGCACTCGAGTATATTATGATGATAATGACAATGATGATATGCATAATTTGATGGTATGATAAAGTCTATAGATTATTTTTGATTAGCTATAAGCTTCTTGAACTCTCAAATGTTGATATATGGACAAGACATACTTAGAGAATATATTGATCAATTTTTATTTCAGTTTTTGGCTCCTTGTCTTCTGTTGCATCCATTTCATAAGCATATTTTGTTATACATTGTCTTGTAACTTACATCAGACCTGGTGGCAAAAGAATTATTTTGCTGTAAGTAAGTTTGCAACTATGATCCGGTATGTTAACTTCCTAGAAATTGCTTGTCCTTAGATTGTTTTGTGCAAATCTACAAAGCTCTAATTACAGGATGAAACTGAATATTTTGTATGCCTCGAATTA